TTGATTATCGTTTTGCCAAAAAGTCCCTTTTGTGGCCAATTATAATTCTGGTTATTACTCCAATTATTTCCCATTTTATTAGTATTATTGTTCTGTCGTTTTTGATCAAATCGTAAGTTGTTTCCCTGATATTTATTTTCATTTTTTAAATCATTAAACCTGTTTGCAAATTGAGCACGGAAATTGTTTGATTCTAATTCTTGGACCTTTGCCAAAGCATTGGGCAAATCTGGTGGATTTAATGAGAAAAAAGTTTCTGAGATAGATCCATTTAGCCCAGATATAAATATTCGTAAAGCATTGCTCCTTATTGTTTTGTTTGTTTCTTTGGCAATTACGCTGTCCTTTCCGTATGTCATTATGGTTTTGTTTATTAGTAGAGTCATTTTTTTATTGACTTCATTATAGTATTCTCTAACTGTCATTCGTCCCTGCCTGAGGATACTTAGTTCTGACTCGAGAATATGTATTGGTCGTTTATCGCTATATATAAAGTCCAATCAATCAATCAATCCTTATCAACACACAAAAAAAAACAACATCTGCAATCATGCTTTCTAAAGCAACGATGCAGTGCGTTGGAGACTATGGATTTTGCCATTGCAAACTAATCTTAATCCTTGGATCTGTGCATTTTGTAATGATGCGGGTCACTCTGTTTACCATTGTCAGAATCGACTTCAGGAGGCAAAAAGGCCTTTGCATATATTGCCTTAAGACTGGTCATTAAAATAGGCAGTGCAATTTCAGTAATGGCCGTGCATACGGCACCTGGGAAATTAGCTTCCACTTCTTCGCAAGAAACATCGCAGTCTTCAGAAGCGCTTGCCTCTGCCTCACTAAATCGTGTCATAAAACCCTCTGAATTGCCTTCCACCTCTTGTGTACTTATTGCACAGGATTTTAGTAATGATATTGTGCTCTTAGCAACAGCCAGCGTTTTAGTAAAAACCCGTTCTTGGGTTTTCGTTCCTTGTCGAGCTCTACTCGATTCGGATGCACCTAATAACATCCCGATTAGCAAACCAGCTTCAAACAAAGAAGATAAGGACTTTGGCATCTGTAACAGGATTGGGAGATTCAAATTTTGTTACTCGGTTAGTATTACAATGCAGTCACATGGCTTCTCCTTAATGTCGTCTCATGATCTACCTTTCGCTAGTAATGGGAATAGTTTGGATCGGTGAGAAGTGGAAAGCTGCGCCGAGCAAATTATACGTGCTACAGAGGAATAGTTAGACTGTGAGACTGTGTCGCTCGTTTGCCAGCTGAATCTTGATCTTTTGGGAGAGTTCTACCAGCAAGCTCGTCGTAGATTCTTGTCCCTCGACAAGAAGGCAAGCCTTGAAGGCTCAATATGCAGCATTCATATAGGAATACCTCGATTTAGGGCACATGTTATTTGTCTGTGCCGATGACATCGGGTCGTGCCAATACTTCTTGCCTTATCATTGCGTCCTAAAAAAAAGATAGCTCCGGCCAGTTAATCTGGCTATTCTATCAACGATGTGCTTATGGCGGGTCCCGTAATTCAGCATAAACTGTAAACTGTTCCAGATTCTTCTTCGGTTTCGTTCACACCCAGTAGCAATCAAAGGAGATATATGCAAAATGTACCGTTGTCCCCTCAGGACCAACTGCGGGTGTTCAGGCTAGACACTTTTACTTATGGAAAGAAACTTGCATAATTTCTGGCTGTACGAACTATGCATAAGTTGCATAAGACGAGCGGACAGCGTTTCTACTTGGGGCTGAGGTCCTGCTTCGCCATTTTTTATGTTGATGACCTGATGTCTGGAGGCAAATCTAAGGAAGAGGCTGTCACCATCATGGATCAGACATCCAAAATTTTAGCCAAGGGAAATTTTAAACTTAAAAAGTGTTGATCGATGGTGCCCGCTGTTTTGAATAGAGCTGCTGAAGATGATAAGTAGTCGTGTTTGAAGTTTTATATATTCACCAGAAAGCTAGGTTGCTGCCATTCAAGAGTTCACTGAGTCAGTAAAGTGGCGTTACTTTTCAACGTCTTTAAATCCAGACGACATCCTGTCCCGAGGTGCTTTTCCCACTGAACTGAATGAGTGTCCTTTCAGGGCTCATGGACCTCCATTCCTCTGTGGTTCCAAAGCTAACTGGCCGCCCCCAATTATCGCTGAAAAGCCAATACTTAAGCTTCGCCGAAGGACAGGTGTGTCATATTTCTGCAGTAGTTAATTCTCGACCCTTAGTCTCGATTTCAAAGAACCCTGTCGATCTGGATGTGTTAGCCCCAGCTCACTTTTTAAATAGTGGTCAATTTGCCTTTTTCGTCGATCCGAGATTCTTGGTGTTCTTGTGTGGCGCAAGTTTGCTTTTGCAGGTTGCCACGCCCATCTAGTACATTCCAAAAATCAGACCACTCATTATAGGGTTATAAGGTAAAACAATGTAGGCATGCATATCTCCATTTCCCACGCATTCCCTTTAGCTGAATAACGGGTATCTAGTAGTCAAAGCCATCTGCATGCTATATCCCGACGGAAACTATAAATGTTGGGACTTAACGTGCAGATTCCTGAAGTTCTTGCGCGGCGCAAACGCATGCTAGCGTTATGGTCGTCTAGCGCCCACATTTGTATACCCTTGCAGAGTAGAAGTCAGAAGTTTGCAACGCAGTTCTAATTCTTCTAATTCAATTTTATCAAAATCGGACGACTATATCATATAATATGAAACAAATTATAGCTTCGGTGTTTTTTAACATATAACCTCCTGCGCTTGGAAATAACATTTTTTTAATTAGTTATGAATTTCGAAATTAGTTTTATCAAAATCGGACGACTATATCATATAGCTGCCATAGGAACGATCGGGAAATTGGTGAGAAAATAATATGAAACAAATTATAGTTTCGGTGTTTGCTGACATATATACTATTGGGAATATCATTTTTTGTATTTTTAAATTTAATAAATATAACTGCAAGGGTATACAAGCTTCGGCTTGCCGAAGCTAACTTCATTTCTTGTTTAATAATTGTAAAATGTGAATGGGATTTTTTTTTGATTCAATACCTATGCCAAAAATTGTTCATTATAAGTTGTTTTGAGGTGGGACCAGTCGCTTTGCTTCTTGCATATCTTCATCTCCCTTGCACTCCACTTAGCTGAGTAACGGGGAGATGGCCGAGGCCGTCGACTATAGTTGTATCTTGTTTTTTTTTTAACAATCATGAATATATTTCATTGGAAGTTTTGGATTATGTCCAAAGTTCTTTCATAACTATATTAGCGATTGGTTAGGACGGTAATTTCATCGCTACTCAATTTATCGTGTGTATATCTCGTCCTTGAAAGCTAAATATCTGTTATCAAAATTATCTTATCTTACATTTTTATTCCCTTGCAGAGGGTATTATGATTTCAGTCCATTTCACCCCATAAAGTATATATATATTTGTGATCAGCATCACTAGACGAATCGATCTAGCTATGTCCGTCTGTCCGTCCGTTTCTACGCAAACTAGTCTCTCCGTTTTAAAGCTATCGGGCTGAAAATTTCCCAAAAGTCTTATTTCTTTTGCAGGTAGTATAGAAGTCGGAACCAGCTGGATCGAACAACTATATCTTATAGCTCTCATAGGAATAAAAGTGTTTTTTAGCATAATTTTGTATGCTATTTTTTTTTAACTAGTTCTGAATTTTGAATTTAATTTTATCAAAATCGGACGACTATATCATATAGCTGCCATAGGAACGATCGGAAAATTGGTGGAAAAATATTATGAAACAAAGTATAGCTTCGGTGTTTTTTGAAATATTATCTTATACTATTGAAAATACAATTTTTTGTATTTTTAAGAATTTCGAATTCAATTTAATAAAATCTCTTACTTACTTACTTACTCTTACTTATAGCTGTTAAAGAAACGGTCCGAGAAATAATGAAATAATTATTTAAAAAAAAATTTTTCTTTGTTGATTTTGATTGTAGTTTCTTTTACTCTGGGATATAGAATATTTAAACTTTTCAGTATTATTTTTATTTTTACACAAATAGCACTGAAGCTAGCAACAATCCTTAAAAATTTAACATGGTGTTACTAACATTGATTATTTCTTATAACTGCAAGGGTATACAAACTTTGGCTTGCCAAAGTTAACTTCCTTTCTTGTTTTTAATATTTGTGAGCTCTTATGTTTTTGACTACAGATTACTGTAACATTGCCTAATGAGAAATATGTTTTGATTAAAGATTGAATTGGCTTTATTTGATTGTTTACACAGGCAGACGGGTCGGAACTTTTTTTGTTTTTGGTTCAAAAACCATATATATGCTTTTGGAAAATACAATAAATTTATTTTAAAAAGTCATAAATTATTTCTTCGCAAAGATTCCACATTGAAACAAGTGAAATAAAGTGCGATTTTTGGAAAATTATATTGCTATATTTTCCGTTTGGCGCTTTGGCTGCAATCCTTCTTTTAGACTTAAAAATGATACTGCTTAGTCTTTTGTTGCAAAATAAAATCCATTAATTTTTTGGTAATCAGCCATGTAAAGACAAATCCATCTGCTTTTGATTCATGTTAATCGTGTCCTCCGCCAGATGTAATAGATTATGTATAAACTATCTTACGTGGATACTCGGCGAAAGACAATATAAGCGTCGAAATAGGTATGAGGATAAATCTTGGAAACTATGTGCTTTGATCTCAAGGTGGTAACGAGCGCTGAAAAAAAGTGAGGTGGATATGGAACGTCCCATATGCTAGCCCTTTACCCTTATTTTAAAAAACTCCTTAAATAAGACTAGCTTACTAAATTTAATCACTTTAATGCTCCACATAGGACACTTCGGAGAAAATTGGTAAAGTAGTTAAGAAATAGCGGTGAGCACTGAGTTTATAAACGTGGTTTTGATTAATATGTATTTCCGCGGCGTTCTTGAAACTACTATTTTGCCTGCCAAAACATTTATTTCATTATTTTTTTCAATTTTGATATATTTAATTTTTAGAATCAACGTTCAATGAAAGTGGTCGTAACTGTGTTTTATGAGGCTCTGTGCCCGGACTCCAAGTATTTTCTTACTAAGCAGCTCCTTCCAACTTTCAAGGTTGCTGAAGAATTTATGGAGGTACAACTTGCACCTTATGGAAAGGCAAGAAAAAAAGAATTAAATGGCAAAATTACTTTCGATTGTCAACACGGACCTACCGAATGCCAAGCTAACATTTACCACGCATGCGCAACAAAGATAATTGAAGACCCACTCCTGCGACTAAATGTTGTAACATGTATGATTGGAGACAATCGAGTTCCTCAAGATGCTATGCATAAGGTTAGTAGATTATATGTAAAAACTGATGGAGTAGTCTTTATTGCACTTCTTTAATTGCGATTAGTATGGGATATCAATCGGTATATGTAGGACCAGAGAATAAAGCATTAACAATAAGAGACATTTTTTTCAAACTCGGGTATTTTAGAGTTTACTTTGGTAATCATTTGTAATTATACCCGTTACTCGTAGAGTAAAAGGGTATACTAGATTCGTCGGAGAGTATGTAACAGGCAGAAGGAAGCGTTTCCGACCCCATAAAGTATATATATTCTTGATCAGGATCACTAGCTGAGTCGATCTAGCCATGTCCTTCTGTCCGTCTGTCTGTCTGGATGAACGCTGAGATCTCGGAAACTATAAGAGCTAGGCAAGCTTGTTTCAGCCATGTGCCACGCCCCCTCTTACGCCCCAAAAACCGCCCAAAACTGTGGCTCCTACAATTTTCATGCTTGGTAAAAAATTTTAACTGAAATGTATTGGTCTCGTCAATACCTATCGATTGATCAAAAAAGTTTGCCACGCCCACTCTAACGCCCATAACGCTTAAATCTGCCTACCGCCGGTAGGTGGCGTATTTTAATCTCGCTTTGCTGCTTGCATATCTCCATTTCCCTTTGGTCCCTTTAGCTGAGTAACGGGTATTTGATAGTCGAGGTACTCGACTATAGCGTTCTTCATTGTTTTTTATTACTTTGGTGTCCATTTAATGTCGTTATGTATTTGTTAACTAAATATTTATAAACTTTTTGTCGAAACTTCAAACCTGAACTGATAGCGATGTTCAGGACGACAAAGGGTGCAAAATAAACTCTTCTTTCTTGTTTTTGCACTTATTCAAAATATATATTCAAAACATTGTTAATCGTTTCCAAAAAACAACAAAGAATTTGCGCAATTCGAAAAACAAATTCGAGTGGTTTTGGTAAATAAAAATTTATTGGATTTAGTTGCTGGCCACATTGGCCAAACAGTGCTAGCATAAATGCTCAGTTAGGGAGAGTTGTGTTTAATTTAAGGTTTAAAAGTCCGATTAAAAAAAGGGCGATGGTAATAAAGCCTTTGATTCAGTTTTCAGTTTTCTTTTATAAGTTATTTATACCTGTTGTGACGATTCGCACCCGATCGTCAAAGTTGAGCAGAAGTCTACTCTGGGGGTCTTTCACACACTTTGTAATAAAAACTCGGAAATATGTTGAACTTCACCAGTTGTATTCATTTGTATACTTTCAATCTTTGACTTAAATGCTATTTTTGATTTACAAATTAGGAAAATATAAAAGCTCGGTTATAAACGCGACCAGCTTCGCCTTATGTCTTCTTCGTAGTGTTGTGCTGCTAACATTAGCAGCAGAAATCTAACATTCGCTGTTAAAACTGCTGTTGTCCACTGCTTCTCAGAGTCGCCAGAAAACAGCTGCCTGGCTTCTCCTAATCGACAGAAACACCCGTTCATGCCGCCCCCAATACTGGACCCAGTATTCAAAGCCTTAGACCATGCTTAACTCTGAAAAGGTTGAAGTGTGTTATGGAGTGAATGCGGGTATATTCAAAGGTGCATGGGTTGTGTACTTGGGCTAGACTCTTCAGTAAATCTTGGCAAGGGCAAACGACAAATCTTTGACACAGACCTCTTGTAAATACCCGTTGAGGTCTTAATTGTAGCTACTCGAACGAGCCCATCGGCCCCAGGATGTAAGTCGATGATTCTCCCTAATTTCCAGTCAGAAGGACCAGTTCGATCATCCTTGATGATGATCATGTCGTTACGCTGAAGATTGTCAGTTTCGTGGCGCCACTTGGGGCGCGCCTGCAGATGAGATAGCCAATCTGCACTCCATTTTCTCCAAAAGAGGCGAAACATCCTTTGACCATTCAGGAACTCTGTGTTAAATGAAGAATCCTTAGGGCTAGGCTCAGGGAGTGACATCATCGAATCACCGATTGAAAAATGTGCAGGGGTGAGAGCTTGCAAATCATCTAAATCAGACGTTAAGGGGCATAATGGCCGAGAGTTCAGGCACGCTTCTATCTGGACAAGAATGGTAGACAGCTGCTCGTACGTCATTCGAATCCCATTAAACGATCGATAAAGATGGGTTTTAACAGCTTTTACGTTGGATTCCCAGAGTCCTCCAAAGTTTGGACTATGTGGAGGATTGAAATGCCACTGAATGTTTCGACGTGTAAGTTCAGGAACTACTGTCTCTTCAATTCCTTTATAGAATTCATTGGTCCACAGCTTTAGAGACTTGTCGGTTGAGATAAAGTTGGTTCCACAGTCGCTGTATAGATGTTGACAAAAACCCCTACGTCCGATAAAGCGCTGCAGCGCCCACAGAAAATGCTGTGCCGACATTCCCGTGACTGCTTCCAAATGAATCGCTTTGCTCGCTAAGCAAATGAAAACTGCAATGTATGCTTTATAGCAAGTGTGACCTCTGAATCTGGATGACTTTATCTCAATCGCACCAGTGTAATCAACTCCAGTTGCTTCGAACGCCCGTTTGGGCGGATTGACACGGTGCGCTGGTAAATCTCCCATCAGTTGGCTTGATGGTGACGGCCGGTGTTTGAAACAGGTTACGCACTGTCGCAGAATCCTTTTTACTGCCTGTTTACCGTTGACGATCCAGAAAACTTGATGAATTGTAGATAAAGTTAGTTGCACACCGCCATGTAAGGTGTTGTGATGAGCGTTCCTTATAACCAAAATCGTCAGGTGGTGGGCCTTTGGAAGGATTATTGGTGTGCGTTGAGACATGGAGAGCTGCAAAGCATTCTTAAATCTGCCTTTAACTCTCATGAGCCCCTCATCGTCGAGAAACGGTGATAGCTGACTGAGTTTGTTGTGTTTGGATAGAAATTTGTTGGATCGTAGTCTTGATAATTCTTCCGAATAGACTTCTTGTTGAACCATCCGCACCAGTGCGAACAAAGCCTGTTGAAATTCAGATACCTGACACAAATGTCTTGTCACAAATGGATGCACTATCATTACATCCGACCAGTAGTGTCCGGATATGGTGTGATGTGATGCTTGAAGTTGATTGACAATCCAATCGGCTAATTGTGTACACAGCAGGGCTCCGGATAACTCAACTCTCGGAATTGTTAGCGGCTTAACAGGTGTGACTCGACTGCGGGCGGCTAATAAGTTAACCTGCACGGAACCATCCGTACAACTAGCTCGAAGATAGGCGCATGCTGCATACGCCATGGATGATCCATCACAAAACATGTGTAGTTGCAACGTCGAGACATGCCTTAAATCGAAGCCTAACCACCGAGGGATGTGTATCTCTTCAATGTCGGGGAGCTCTTGAATGAGCTGTCGCCACCGCTCGGCGAGTTGATCTGGCAATGGGTCGTCCCAATCTAATGATGCGGGGGGCTCATCCTTGCGCTCGATACGAAAACTCCAAACTTCCTTCAACAGGATTTTCGCAGCGATGATCACTGGTGCCAGGTATCCCAACGGATCGAATAAGCGTACTACTGTGGATAGTATAGAACGTTTGGTGAATATAGGATTGAGAGAAAACTTAAGACTAAAACCAAAACCATCTTTGTTTGGATGCCAATACAACCCCAAAGTTTTAATGGAGTCCTTATTGTCTATCTCAAAAATGCTACTGTTAGAGAGATCTGTAGTTGGGATGCTTTCTAAGATATCTGGATGGTTGGATGCCCACTTCTTGAGCTCCATGCCTGCTGATTGCAGAGCTGCGATGACATCATTGCGAATTTTTAGAGCTCCGTCGATGGTCTCGTGTCCTGTTTGAACATCGTCCACATAGATTTCTTTTTTAAGGACATGCTCGGCCAGAGGATAGCGTTCGCGCTCGTCGGACGCAATCTGATGTATGACTCGAATCGCTGTGAAGGGTGCCGAGGCAGTGCCAAACGTTACTGTAGTCAAAAAATATTCCTTGATGAGTCCCTTTTCATCGCGCCAGAAAATTCGCTGATACTGGGCATCTTCTTCATGCATATCTATGCAGCGATACATTTTCGTTATATCGGCCACGAAGACATACCGATGGAGACGCCAGTTGAGTATAACTCCTCCAAGATCGTTTTGTAGGGCGGGACCCGTGCATAAAATATCATTCAAAGACCTCCCGTTAGACGTTTTGCACGAAGCGTCGTATACGACGCGCATCTTTGTAGTTAAACTGTCGTCTTTGATCACCGCATGATGTGGAACGGTGCACGCAGAGATTGAGAGTTGCCTTTGAGCGTTGATCCTAGTGTGTTCTTCCTCACTACCTTTTACCTCTTTTATCTGCTTTAGATCAAAGTACTCTTGAATAGTGCTGGCATACTGTTGACTGAAATCTGGCCGATGATTAAGTTTCCTTTCCAGGGCGTGGAAACGGTTTAATGCGATTTGTCTTGACTGGCCGATCACCTGTGTGGGGTCAAACAACGTTTTTAAAGGCAAACGAACTAGATATTTCCCATTCGGCTGACGGATATGAGTTTGTTGAAAATGGTCTTCACACCATTTTTCCTCTGCGTTGAGTTGTCGTGTTGTGGAGACCTGATCCAATTCGAAAAACCTCTGTACCATGTTGTTTAGGTTTGCCAAATTACAACGGATGGAGATTGATGTCGTCTGGGCTGCTTCAGCTGGTCCAAAAACTATCCAGCCCAGCTGTGTGTTTTGTGCAATTGGTTCTTCAACCGTCCCTTTGCGTATGTCCGGAAGCATTAATTGCGGGATAATGTCGACACCGATAAGTAGGTCAATGCGACCCGACTTGATGAAATTAGGATCTGCAAAGAATAACCCTTGGAGATGTTTACAGGACTTAATGTTTACATTTTCTTTTGGTAAATGACCTGTTAGTGACCGAAGGATGAAGGCTGAGGATACGTAGGCATTAAAATCCGATCCTGAACATGAGATTATAGTGAAGTCGGTGCTGTGCCTGCACTGATTATGCGACGTATTACCAATTCCGGTGATCTCAGCTCGAACAGGATGCCGTTTG